TTATACAATCGGACACTTGACGAACATTAGACGCTCGACTTCGATTCTTTAGGTCTGTAAGAAACGGGGGATGTCTCACTTACGTGAAGCGAATCATAATATGGTGAGTTGTTGTCCACGCACGTGAAGCGAATCATAACAGGTTGAGTCTAGAAGGACGGGTGAGTCTAGAAACAATATAGTAAAAGTTTCATCCCAAAACAATTGGTTACCATCCCAAAGCAATTGGAAGTAGGAGTAGTTTCCTAGTGAGATTTCATCCTAAAATCAATTGGTAGTACGAGGATGAACCCACTAGCTAGGCTTATTTTTTCTGTATAACAAGTACATCATCGCCAGGATTCACATAGGTCCAGCTCTGATACCACTACTTATTTTTCTTGTATAACATGTACGTCATCGCCAGGACTCACGTAGGCCAGCTCTGATACCATTTAAGGCTCGGGAGAAACGAGTGCGATCTCATGCACTTGAAGCGCATCATAACAGAGTCAGTTTAAATGTAAAGGTTTCATCTCAAAACCAATTGATAGTATGAAGAGTGACCTAATAGACTTATAAGTTAAGTCTATTTTTTTTATATAAACGATGTGTGACAACTGACAACTCACAAGTGATATTATGTTCTAATAAATTTTTCGAGCAACCACTCACTTACAGAGGTTGCTCGAAAATTGTTTAATGCTTGAGTTTGATTCTTTAAGCCTAACTTGCCAAATGATGAAATGAATCTACCTTATTTATATGTTAATATTAATGGTTTGAAAATATATTCTTTATTGTTATATGTATAATTAATGATGCATCATAAATTATAAACTGATCTTATGTATAATCGCAATATTGTGTACGAGCTTCGTCAAGAATTCAATGCTTATTATTTGTAACCTTAGCTCTGACTCATTTACTAACTAAGAAGGCCAGAGTGGACGATAATTCACGAACAACATATGAAGTTGAAATCCGAAAAAAACAAGTTAATCATTTTATTTTATTTTTTATTTTTTATTTAATTTTTTTTTTAAAAAAAAGAGTTTGATTATAACGGATGAGTTGGACGATTCTTAATTCCATTAAAATTGATATTTATATTAAGTGGATGGAGAAGACGAAATGCATCACATCCAATAATTGAAGAATTTAATGGTAGGGAAAATGACAATAAACAAGTTGAAGTGGTGGGGTTGGAATTTTGAGAGATAAAGAGGGCCAAAAATAAATAAATAAATAAATAAATAAAAAGGAGAAAAAAAGAAAAGAAAAGAGGGGCCAATAAGTAAATTAATTTAGTGAGTTTTGCATGTAAAAGGAAAAAGAAATTCCAAGCATTTTCACTTTTGATCCTCTTGCTATGGAAACTTCTTCCAACCTTTGGTTCCCAAACGGTAGACAAAATGGCCTGCCTACTAATTTGCAGCAAAAGCTTAGTTCGTTTGAGTTGGTTGTTCTCTCATAGTAGGGTTACTAATTTTACAATTGTTATGTTTCTTTTTTTTTTCGGTATTTTTCTTTTTTTTTTTCCTTTATCACTACTTATGGTAAAAAATTCAAAATAAAATC